GTCTCTCTCTCAGTCAATGTCAGCTAAAAGCTGTTACCTGAGTCGGTGTCATAAGTGATAATAAGCTATTTGTAGTGACATCTTTGATTAGGTTATTTTAGGACCAGTAACTTCTTTGTCTGATCTTAGTCCCCACCATGAAACGGGGGAGGGGCCGACGGAAATGTACACTGAATGTACGGTTGTGATCTAAATTCACTGAGTATAATCCAAGTAGCTAGGTTGCTGCTTTTAAGATAGTTAATGGATTTAAGTGATTAAATACTGTTGTTATTGACCTGTCTCCCTATGTGAACACTATTAGGCAATCCGAATGGCTCTGGTGACTCTTGAACGTGCCTTTCCTAAGCTCTAGAAAACAGCTGAGTTCTGTTGAAGCAAACAGCCTGTGATGGGAAAGAGCGGTCACCAGTGGGCACGAGTGGCTACTCAATGACGGGTAAGACCTTCTATTGGCCAGACAGGGGGCAACCCAAGCCAGAGTGGATCACGTAAAGTCACTGGGCATCTCAAGATGGAGGTGTTTATGTGAGAAAGGTATGAGAGTGGAGCGGATGACTGTGAGGCCAGCAGCATCCTTTATCGTTAGGGCGGATAAGCTGTGAGGAGTTACAGACAGTCTGACCCCGAAACGTGAGTGTTCCTCTAATACCAATCACCAGAAACCGCATTCATTGTATGGCTTGTTTTTTTTTATTGTGACAAGCGTCTGCAAATATGCCAGGGGAAAACACCCTGATGGAGATTATAGATAAAGGGCTAACAGGAGGGGGCTTTCAAGAGCCAGCTGAGGCCATGAAGTGATTCCCATTAGTTGTTGTGGAGACAGTAGCAAAACTTTTTATGTACTGGTTTGCCTTATGGGCAAGGAAAATCATAGTGTTGATTTTGAACTAATAGGTCTATGACATAGTTTTAACTCCTGAAGGTCGTTAGACATGGTGGTGGCTAAAGATGAAGACAGTTTTTGTAGATTTGAGAAAAGTCTGGATAACAAGGTGAATGGTCAAAGGTTATTGTAATTAATTTAATATTACATTTTGTCTAAGTTACAGCCTTAGAAGGCTGTTGAAAAAGATTATTTATTTATAGTGCGAGAGACTGCTTGAGCAGAGGAAGGGATGGTAACTGTGTCTGTCTTTCCATTATTGGCCTGCTAGAGCAAGCTGAAGCAAAATAATGATAATGAAACAAAACAACCCAGCTGACCTTGTTAAATTCTAATGAATAATGAACAAGACATGCTTTGAAACTGGTTGGGAGACCATGTAAAATTAGGTAGAAGCTACCGGAAAATGGGAAGTTTAAAATCTTATTTAAAATTTAAATCTTTTAGCAATAATATAAAGAAAAAATGAACATTGAAAATGAACAGTTAACATATGTGTGTCTAGTATGAGTGCGTGTGATGGTGACAGCACTTTATGTCTTGTATGTATTAGTTTGGGGTACTATTATTTCCTGATTTTGAGGATATTGTGTCATTAAACTCTGGAATTAGTGTTTTATCATTACAGATGGGTTAAGTGAAATGACCAACTTTAAAAAAAGGTTGATAATTCCAAGACAATCTGATGAAAAGACAATGCAGAACATGGGACGAGCTTTAATTGGAGTGGTTTTCCAGCTCTGTCTGCTATTGGTAATTATGAATGCTTTTGTCATTTATGATATTGAACTGAATTACTCTCTGGATTAGTATTTTATATAAATTGGAATTGTAAAGAAGATTGCCGTCCATTCTGGGGTAAAACTCTTGTCTAAATTCAACTGAGGGTCTAAATTTAAATAGACAACTAGGTGGGATCATAAGGATAATCGTAAGAAAAAAAAAAAAGAAAAAAAAGATATATATATATAGACTTGACGGCAGAGAGACAAAGTGGCACATTGGCTAAGTCACTATCCAAATTATCCAGAGTGAGCTCCCTCATTTTTATTGAAAGGCCGGAGGGCGAACAAAGAAGGAGTGAATATAACTTCTAAAAAGAAAAGGTTTTATTTCTCAATCCCTTAAATGTATGTATGACATTAGATGTCTAAGAAAACTACAATTTAATAAAGGTAAAAAGAGAAAGCAGCTATATGGCTGTGGGCTGGGATCTGAGTAACATAATATTTTGGTTTCTGTAAAACTGTAAAGATAAGCGGAACTGAGACAAATACTGTGAGAAGTAGTTATAATGAAAAATAAAGTTGAAGTTAATGATAAGAAAACAAGAGTATTGAAGAATTAATAAAATACCATGATTTCCCTAACGAGGGAACTTTAAGTGTCACCAGGCTGACAGTGGTGAGAGACTCGGATGCAGAAGGAACTGGCATGTAGGGCATGATGGAAGAAATATAGTAGAAAAAAAAATGTATGTTATGAAAATACAATTTCTGATAGGATTTATGGAAGTCAAATTAAGTTTAAATGGTATGAAAAAGGTTAGGGTTAGACATTGTATGATTGACAGGGATTCAAGTTATATAAGGATAAGGAATGAACAAAAGCTTTATTAAGCAGAATGGGGAACGATCCTATATTTTAGTGGTAAAATAATGACTGAAATGATGATGTGAATTTGTTTTATTTTATTTCTATTTTTGAAACAAACAAAAAAGGGTATAAGATGTTATACAATTAAAATGGTACATGCTATGTGACTGTAAACTGAAGGATGATTTCAGTAAAGACTTAAAGTGCTTACATCGATTATTATGGGTCTTAATTATTAATATTTTATTGTTTGTTGTTTATTTTTAGTTAGACAACCATTGTGTTTTAAACCTAAAGGGTCTATAAAAGGGGTAGTGAAAATAATGGATTACCCATCCAACTTTGTTTATAATAAAAGGATTTGGAAATCATAATTTTATAAATAAAATAAAAACTAGTGCATATATTCTGGTATTCATGATTATAGACAATGTCTTTATTTAGGATCTGAGTAGTGACTGTGGATCTAGCCCATGCTAGTAGGAATACAGCAATAGTGCTTGCTTATTTAGCCTGGCTTCCAGAGAACAAATATGTACTTGTTTCGTAATCAGTTATGTGTGTTATAAAAATTTTAACCTGACTGATAAACTGAGGAAGAATGACATTGATGTCCTGTTGTGAGTGGAAGGTGGGAGAGCCTCTTAATGGGGACTGGAATTTTTAGTATCCAGCATGTCCGTGACGAGGTGAAGAGACAAGTGTGACCCGTCAGGGGAGCATGCGTCACCACTCCTCCCTTCCGTAGTGACCTCACTGGTTAGACCAGACGTGGCGGTATTGGACCCCACATTGGTCTAAAACGGGGGACTGAAGGGTTGGTCAAAATCCCTTGCCTCTTCAAATACATATATAATCATATATCATTTTGAATGGTTATATACTTCCTTTATAAAAATCAATAATCAAATATATTCATTATCACATAATAATTTTTATATTCTTATGCTTGTGAAATTATATTTTCTTAAATGCATGGATGCAAGTAACCAGTTTCTTTTAGGTGCATTCCAATCTTACTTTGAGATTGCACGTAGTACACGCAGGACACGAAGGCCACGTAACCCACAAGGCCGTTTGTCTCTTTCTCTGGGATCAGTAGAAAGGTTAGAGGGTCCTAAAGGCAGCGTGGGCACATATGATTCTTCGCTGGACATATGGTCAAGCTATATTGAGCGTTACTATCAAACTTTAATTGTTGTATTAAAATGTATTCTTTCCAGTGTATTTCCTTCCTTGGGAGTAAATGTCAGTGATCTGTTTTTCTCCCAAACGAGTGAATGTTTTAGCATTATGTTTTGGCATACTTAACTGATAATAAGGAGCTCAGACTCTCTTCAGCCTTGATGGGAGCTGTTATTTGCTAGTGTCTGTTATTTGTGTGTGTGCGTATGACATTCTATGTAGGTTCTGGACGGTCGGACCAGACACCCCGGCGCCCTTCTCTAACCTGCGAGGCCACCACAGACCTAAATCCAATGAGTGGACGACAACTATCTTTACTAATGGCGATAGGCACCCCTATCTCCTCACATGTGTTAAATTGTTTAGGCTTTCATGTTTCTTAGCCAATGAGAATCATTCAACCTGTAAGCAATGACGTAGCTTAGACCTTGGAAATGGTATAACTGCTGTGATCTTTATAACTGTAAGCGGGGCGGCCTACGAACTCCTGTGTGAGTCTTGAAGCTGACTTCTGCTGATGAAAATGCAAACTATCTTCAGTAAAACTTTTCTTTAATTTTTTATAATTCTGACTCCGGGTCTTCATTCTTCATATCTGGTTCTGGGTCTTTGACTGTATACCCCTTACAGAGGCATGGTACAAACATGTTACTCGTGGTAAATCAAGAAAACGAGATTCAAACAATAAAACTAACCATGTTGAGCTATATAACAATGATTAGTTTTCTGTCGATAAAGGCATCCAAACAGTTGCTCAGCTGTCTAAAACGCGAAATATATTAAAGCTTCTTTGGTGTTTCCATGGTTTCTACGGAAGTAAAACCGGAAATCGAGGGTAACGTGGATATGCGTGGTGACGCAATGACACGGGCCGTTACACTGGTTAAAATAGCTAAGTTCTCTGGATTTAAACATTGTTACACAAGTACACAAGTCGACAAAACATATAACATTGTTCTAGTGGTTTTTGGATATTTTAATAAAAAAATCTTACATATTGTGCCTTTAAATTAGCATAGTTACTGTCAGGTTTTTCATATGACACATGCTGTTAAATGTACACATAATATATATTTTTTTACCACATTTAGTTTGTTCATTAATGTTGTTTAATGGAATTTATTGGATTGCATTAATGCCATCTCTAAAAAGACTGTGAAAAACTCATACTCATGAGAAACTCATGTAAACACATTTGTCAAAATGTACAATTCCCATTTCTATGCATAGTTGCTTTGCCCTGTACGAAACATTTCTGGCCAATAAATGTACTCGATTCACCCGTCTTTGGCTGATGTAGCAAAAAGTTTTGGACCCTGCAGGCACTTACTGTCTGAAAGTTCTGCAACTCGGCCAGAGTCTTTTTGTCCACGACGACAGGGCCTTTGAGTTTGCAGTGAAAGGCTTCTTCAATTCTCCTGTAGGAGGTCATTTCCTCAAGAGTAATCAGAGCCGTAGGCAGCTGACTGGGTTCATTGGGCCTATCCACTGCAGCTCGCCGCTCTGTGGCCTCTGTTCAAGCAGATCACAAGTAGACACATCACTGCATGCAGTTAGACACCTCATCACTGTGTGTCTGTGCTAATGTCCGGCTAATCTGCATGATATCCCCTTGATTATAAATATGAAACATGATGGACATTTGGTGAGATTTACATGTTGTGTATTGTGGGTCCTCACCTTTGATCAGTTCTTTGAACTCTTGCAGCAAGACCTCTTGAGTGACCTCTGCCCCAGGGGATCCTGGGGGTCCCTGAGGCCCCGGAGGACCAGGAGGGCCCGGGGGACCAGGCTGATAGTCAAAGAAATATAATTGTTGTATAATTTTAATTCAACCTCATCAAGACTCAAAGTTCTTTGAATTCTCAAAAGAGCATCTCACTTTATGTAATGACGTGTTAAAACTTGAAATGTATTAAGGAATGTATTATGCAATACATTACAAATTCTCTGGTAGAGATAAATTATACATTAAAAGTTAATTCTCACTTATTAAAAAAAAAAAAGATATCTGCACTGAATGACTTTCGGCTCCATTAATGGTTCTCGCACATGTATGTGGACAGAATCAAATTACTCTGACCACACTTCCTACCGCAACATCACTATTGAATCTACACCAAGCAACAGTATTAGTTCAATTCCAAAGCGAATGAGCCAGTTCTTTTTAGTGAATCAAAAGCTGTTGTCTGATTCTCGAAAATAATGGCTGAGTCAGGTTTAAGGAATAGCTCAAAATGACAAACTCAGCATTTCTGAAGTGTGATACGTCTGCAATTGTGCTTGTTAATTCATATCATCACCTAACGATTAGATTAGTAAGCAACAAGCAAAACATTTTTACTAAAGTACAAAAAAAAAGCATGCACATCCCCTAAAACCGACACTGGAAGTGAATGGGCAAAAAGACTATATGTTCGAGAAAAAAGTCGGCACACTACGACTGCAAACACAATTTGTCTTTACATTAGTGATGTAACTTAACATTCTCATATTGCTTTTTATTGATTTACAAGAATTGTACGGTGAATGAAAATTCCGCTCTTTTCCACAATTTCAGCTTTGTCTCATGTGTTACTGTGTCAATTATGTCTTTGACATTTGATAATATGTGATTGTAAAGACTTCCTCACCAGTGGTCGTTTTCGTTTTCGACATTTTCCGGGAAAGTTGCCCACAGGCCTCTTCACAAAATCCATCCATGATCCAAGAGGGTCCACTCTCTGGTTCTCACTGACCTGCTGAGTAAGAAAGAATAAGAAGAAAATATTTAATGACATGCATGTTGTTGTTGTTTTTCTGTATAACTCTAAGTATTTCAAGTATGTGGATATGATGCACAAATGACAAATTCTCATAATTTTAGGTTTGGTTAGCGTACACGTCAGAGCATATGCATAAATAGGTATGCTACTCCCAGTTTCATATTTGATGAGTCATTGGGAGAAGTACTAACTGTGATTTATCAGATATTTATGCCAGAGATCATTCTTCAGTTGCCATTGAGAGCAGAGAATCGTAGCTACATAACAACATCCAATGAGTCATAATTTCTGCTTACAACCCCTCACAGGAAAATTGTGCCTAAAGATGCTATTAAATGGTGCCAGACATCAAGGCAGGTTGCACAGTGCAGTAAAGAAATAGGTCTTTTTTGTGGCATGTAGCACTCATGCCAAACACACTCACTCAAATTTTCTCCTGAGGACTTTACCCTTTGCTTAATTACTCCTTCTCAGTATTTCTCCAGGTGCTACGTAAATTTTGCCCAGTAGGGTCTGTGAAAAATAAACAGCCTTTCTAAATTGATCTCTCTCAACAAGTTTCCATGAGCACAACATTACTGTTCACCTAAAAATGAGAAGCCCGAGACATGTTGCATTATACTGTGGGTTCCTTTTTTTAAAACTGTATAAAAACACATACAGTGGCTTTCAGTGGAAACATTGCTGGCTTCTTCTTTTCAGTAAGCTCTCAGAGCCTGAAGTTCATTTCTCAGAGGTAGCTAGCTCCAACTCAAAGAGAGGTTATCAAATATGCAATCTCTGATATAACTCATTCTATTTGGCAACAGTTTGAACCCTCTAAATCCCACACTGGAATGAACAATCATCAACCAAGCCAATGACATCTCCCCCTTTTTTGGGAGATGCTACAATTTGAGCTACTTTTTTTAAATAGTGGCATTCAGAATTTTAAATAAAAATTGACGGCTAAGACGGCTCTCTGGTAGAAAGAGCCCACTGTTTGAATGGATGTGATGTACATGAGTCATTTTACGTCATATCCCTGAAGTAGTAATGAAGTAATATTTTGGAGAATGTTTACAACAAAAAAACAGAGACTAAATAGATGTACTTTTACTCAGCTATTTATAAGCATTTATAAGATACAAATCCAACAATGATCTTTAAAATTTAATTTATACCATCAAATTAGTCCATATTTAACTGGTCATTATGATCTAAATCATTATTATTATTATCTAAAAATGAATATGAATTAATATATGGATTAAAATAAATATATAATGTGAGTGAATAATATAATACAAATATACAAATGTATTAAATATTAATATACTTGAGCTAATAACAAGCTAAAGGTAACATTTAAATTATATAAATGGACACTGCAACTATGGTCATTTGTTTATCTTTTGTGAAGGGTCATTTCATTATGGGTTGTGGTAGCGCTGTGCTTGAATTTATTTTAAAGGATGTGCCGTGTCTATTAATGTGTATCAGTAACGTCTTCAGCTAGTCAGCTTGAGATCCTTTCCATCTAAACTGGTTCTATCTCTTAATCTGAATCTTTTATGAGCGGTATGATAACCATTTCCATCCGCACAGAGCCAAAGCACAACCAAAACAATGTTCTTCCACAAAATGCATGAAGTTTAGTTTTTTAACCCCTAGAGGAAAAAAAGTTACATAGTGTACATTTAAAAATCTGATGCATTCTAAAGACCTTCAAGAAAGTCAATACACTAAAACATTGCTTGCATAGCACTGTTTGTTCATGAAATTGTATCTATCAACTTCAAAAGCTAAGAAAAAAAAATACTTTTTACTTTGAAATGTTAAAACTTTCATTCAAGTATGTTTTTGTTTACCTACTTTGACTTTTAATTGATAACATTTTGATACAGTATACCAAAAATGTAACTTGAACTTCCCGAGAATACCAAACTAAATATTAAATAACTTTATAAATGTGAAATATAAATATTTATATACACATAATTGTTCATTTATGACCAACTAACCACCAACAATACTGAAAAGCTGACAATGTTTTCACTTAGATGAAACACAAGGCTTTATAAATTCCAGTAACCACAACTATGAATTGAATCTCCTTGAGCCCTTCCCTAAACTTCAAATGACTGTGGTCGAGATATAGACAAGTTGTAGAGGTGAGCTGTCTGAAATGGAATTTGTTTAGGTTTGGCACCAAGACCTGGATCACTTATCTGTTAAACTAACATGCTGCATCTCTTCACAGAAAGACTTGCCTCACGTTAAGCTGTAACAAAGTAACCCCTTGTTTTTCTTATACATACTAGAATGAGAGGAGCTCATAATTTAGCTTGGGCGTATTTTTTTTTCTTCTTTTTTTCATGACAAGAGACAAAATAAACAACTTAACTCGGACACAAGCCTCGCGCATGTTGGATGTCTGAGTGTTATTGTTGTGAATTAGGAGCCTGAAGACAGAGCAGATTTGTATAGATACTGTTACAGCAAAAGGCAATCCCTCAGATCTTCCCCAAACACAGGGAGAAGACGTGATTTGTTTCTTTTCCATTGTCTTTTATGGAATGCTTTATAAACACAGACTGTATACTGTATATAAACTGCATTACTGTATGTCAAAGGCAAACCAGCACAGAGCTGGCTAGCAGTGCCAAAAAATGATCTGCAGGATTCTAATATTACCAAAAAGAATAAACTCTTCGGTCATGAAGTCCCCTTAATTCTGTTGATTCAACGCGGTTCTATTAAGAATCAATATCTACTTTGGCGGGTTCATTAAGTTGTTTAATTTCCTGTGCCAAATAGCACAGGATAAGCCACAGATGCAAGCACAGAAGCTAACTTAAAGCTTGAGGGGACCAACTTCACCAACAGAACAGAGTTACGATCAGTTTCCACAAGATTTGCAAGGTGGTCGAGTCAACACATTCACCTTCACCTTCAAAATATACAAAGAACTGTCATTAACACTTCGAATGATCAGAGTCGGATCAGATGGTGCATGGGGAGGATCCATAATTCTGTCAAGACAAGGATTAACTTGCCTGAAGTTGCTGCTTGGAAATGTCGTAGAAGTTTGTGGAGACACATCTATATCCGCGTAATCTAATTTTATCATGTTCCCTCATGTTCTCTTCTCAAAAAAGTATAAACCATTCTCTGACTGTCAGAAAACAATGATTCTGTCACTCTAGACATGCAAGACCAGTACTGCTAAAGGTCTCTGAAAGTTTTTTTTTTTTGGATACAAAGGGAACATTTTCACAGAGACTTATAGGCTGATATGGAATGTGCAGTGGTTTGCTCAGTGCGATAAACTTTCCAATATTTCAGAGTGCTGTGTACACAGTCGATTCGGTTGACAGCGGTAGCATGGCTTGTATGAAAAGCCCTATATGCTGAAGTATTTCAGATCATGACAGATCATGGCAAGCTGTTATTATCTCAGCATACCACTGAGGTGGATTTTTCTCTGATGAGTTTGTTTTGGGGCTGTTAAAACAGCAGAGCTTTGTGGAGCAAAGCTGCCAAATGCTCCATTAGAGACTGAGTAAAAAAGAGTTTCGATGAGTCTGAAAGCTGAGAAAATAATGGCTTATGAGTAAACCCTAAAACCACTAAGCAGACACAAAGTCCCTCCTTTTCATATAAATAGATCAACAGTACTACTGCATAAAATATTTTGTAAATTTTTTTAAAAGTCCACCTAAAAAAGAAAACTGTGTCATTTACTTACCCTCATGTCGTTCCAAACTTTCCTTTCTTCTGTTGAAAAAACAAAATAATTAATTTTAAAGAATCTTTCTGCTTTTATCCATACCATGAAATTCAATGGGGTCCAAAACAAGTCATTGTTCTATGACTTGCATTGTATGGAAAAGAAAAAAAAAACATATTTTTGCACAAAAAAGAAAGTCAGACAGGTTTGGAATGACATGAGGTTGAGTAAATGATGACAGACATTTCATTTTTGGATAAACTATCACTTTGAGGTGAAAATCAGTGTTCACTAACCAGCCAAAAATTTCTAAGTGGCTTAAAGGTATCTGCTAACTCTTCTACAAGTGCAAGCAGAAACCTGTCATTATAAAGTCATTTCTTTATGTAGCGTGTCAAACTTTTGTTTAATTGCAAATGTTTTTTTTTTTTTTTTTTTTGCCAATCTGCAATTAAATGATCATTTTTTTGGTTTACCAGAACAAAGCACCTGGGCAATTCGATCCAATCTGTATAGTGCACTTATTATTAGTGCTAAGAGTTAGCAAAAATGGAATTTCAAAATATCAAACTTCCAACAGCTACCTATTAAACACTTATTTTTAGATTTAAACTGTTTTCAAATAATTAGCTTGCAAAATTTCTCCACAAGTCTTAGTGCTCACTACTCATTTAACATACAGAGGGGAAAAAATAAGAAAATGGGTTTATTTTCAGAGAGAAATGTCAGAGACTATTTTTATGGCAGCGCGCCACAGCAAACATAAACACAGCCATAAAAATCTGCCTTGAGGCCACAATCAACAATTATGCAGCAGTGTTTGATTGTGAAAAACCTTGTAACCTCATCTGTATATCCATTTCATTACACAGTTTGAAGGTATGAAAAGACACAAAATGTTTTTACTTGACATTAACTCTGTGACAAGTAATAGTCCAGACATTAAAAACTGGGTCTGTTCTAACAAAGCTATGAGGTTTAGTGACGATCCAGATTTTACCAGACATTACAGTAAGTAACACACCGAGAATTTTGTTAAATATACAATACCATTACATCTTTTTCTGTCTAAGTGTAAAATTTTGTAGAAGTCATCAGCCCCCAAATCAAATGTCAATATTTATTTATCAAAATTTATCAAAATACTTACAGATGCTCTTCAAGATTTAAACTATTGTCAACACTACAAAGAAATAACACTTGTTGACATTGCGAAATAAATTCAGCATGCAATACAAATACATCAGAAACAGTTGGCAAA